ATCGTCCATACACCGCACTGCACTTTTTTTGCAGAAGCTATGCGACCTTATTTGGTGAAAAAAGTACCTAAACATTACTGTCGAGAACCAAAAATACAGCTGTAGAAAACTGAGGACAATCTCATTCTTTTAGCTAACTCCAGGCAAATACAGGACCAGTCTAGAATTTCAAGACAATAACGCAAAACATTTTTAATGCCAACTTCACTAAGTGCATAAAAACCAGTTTATCAAAAGGATTTATTGTGCTAATACGTCAAATTAAACAGTAATTACTACAAAATTTTAGCAGTTCCAATCAGACCAGTGATTAAAAATCCCAACCCAAACCTAACTGGCCAGTTTATGACCTTTTAAACAACGTAATAAAAAAGTTAATATGCTTCTTAAACTAGCAGTATTCAGCCGAATACATAAACTTAAAAAACAATCTCGAGGAAGCACCTCCACACTAAACTGTAAGGACTACACTTCACTAAGGGCATAATCGCATTACCGCAAAAGTTAAAACATTCTGGACTTTTTTAAGAAAAAACAATTAAGACCCATCTGCTAAAAAGTCATCTCAATAAGAATGAAGTTGAAATATATATTTATTTATGGGCCGTTCCATGCCAAGTCGCACACTTTTACATCTCCACCTCTCAAATTTTTTTCATTTTTTGCATACTTGTAGCATTTGATACCAGATTTTGAAATCAAAAGACTTCACCTCAAAAAGTGCGTTGGCAAAGTTAGACTGTTCTAAGGTCGGAAGAAAAACACAATTCACCCTCGGCATGGTCACTTTTAACGACCCGTAGTTTTCTTTAGTAACATCGGAATTCTATATTCTTACTTCTTCTGAAAGCCAGTCTCCTGTAGATTCAGGAAAATGGTGAAATGCTTAAAATGACAGATTTTGTTCCAGATTAAAGAAAAAAAACAAAAATTCAAGACGCTTTTTCTCAAAAACAGACAATGAATTTCTTGAAAGAAATGTATTTTTTAAAGACAGATTTTCTATACAAAGTATGAAAATTGCAAGGTGGCATCTTTTTGGGATCAACAGTTACGGTACGGTTGGTGACAGTAGATCGGAAAAATCCCCCAACCGAAGCAGTATTTTGGAGCTTTCGCACGTGGCAGAGCCTCTGTTTCAACTAAAATTTTATTATAATAATATATGTAATTCTTGTAAAACTCTTCAACTCGACCTCTTTAGTAACAAACAATTACTTAAAATCTATTTACTTTTAAAGAATTTTACAGTCTTTCTAGAAAAAATTACTGTTATGATTACTTTTTCGGCTTGTACGGCTTTGCTTGCTTATTGAACCCTCCTAACTCAAATATATTACAATCAGTACTGTTTTTTGACTGCGAGTATTCTTTGCCATTTTTATTCTTAGCGCTTTTTAGTATAACGCAGTGAAATTTTTTATGCGTTTGACCGGTGAATGTACTCAAAAACGCGGTACTGAAAGTGCTCCTTGCCTTTCATATTCTAGTGAAAGTACTGGAATCACTAGGATTTTTTCAATAATTCGGAGCCTATTTGTAAAAGTCATTTTTGGTTAGGATTTCGATTGACAGTGTCTCTTTCATGCAGGCCGTCATTGCCAATCTTCTCAATATGCAAAGTTTCAAATTGATGCACTGATGCGGTCATGAAACGGCAGGAGAAGAAAATACAGTGACTTAATAGCTACGCAAGCTTTAAAAAATAATGGTGAAGAGTGGCGGGTACTGAACTAAAACTGGAAGTAA